ACAGAATACCACAAGTGCAGGCAAACGCATCCATTTGTCTCATCCGCACAGAGAGGGGGGGGGGGGGGGGGGGGGTGGGTGGGGGGGGAGAGGGGGTGGGGGGGGGGGGGGGGGGGGGGGGGTGGGGGGGGGGGGGGGGGGGCGGGAGGGGGGGCGAGGGGGGGGGGGGGGGTGGTGGTGGGGTGGGGGGGGGGGTGGGGGGGGGGGGGCATTTATAATCACTTTAATAGCATAACAATATGGGGCCAACTAATTTCACATTCTTCTGTCACCGGCAAGAAAAGCCGATTTGCGGTGAACGCGCGTGATCTGGACGCTACGCAGATCATGCATCTCTTGGGCAGCTTGCCTCGCTTTGCTGTGCATCGTCTGTATTTAATTACACCAATAGGAATCAATGATGGTAGAGTAACACGAATGGCATAATGGCTTATATTAGTGATCATGTACATATATTATACTGCGCATCAACCCATGAAAATGTGTGTAACTGAATCTTGTAGCCACTCGGAGCGAGTTAACTACACTAAATGCCTGTGGCGCCGTTTCCCCATGCAACCGATAAACAAGTGTTCGTCGATCTTACGTAATGTCCATCAATCATATGTGAGGTATGAAGGGAAGGCAAATGCACTTTCACGAGAAAGAGCTGCCCTGGGTGTGACTCGAACCTACGACACTCTGCAGTCTAGGCGCAGTGCTCTACCACCTTAAGTACATACATACGTACCCGTGCAGCTCAGCAGACAGGGCACAAAATCTACTTCCGTAAACAACACATTAAAGGCAACTCTTCGTCCATGTGCATGCCTTATAATTCATCGACACACACACAAGAATTAGCCAGCACCCAGCTCCTCTATCAAAATGCTTAAGGGGTAAGGTTATTGCGGGGACTTTTGCTAATGAACTTAACACTTTGCACGCCGCGTAGTATTGCGGACATTTCTCCGCGTGCGTGGAATTACGCATGCGTGGAATATTGCCACGGCCATCCGCGTAATACGCAAAGTGGCGCATGGCGTTGCGGAGCAATTACGCGCGCGCCATTTAAGTGACACGCGGCGCCCATAGTGTTAACGTGCGCTTAGATAGACGAAGTTTTGCAAAAGCCGTTACTTGTAAATCTTAGATAGACATTACTTATACACACTTTATCATTATAGGGATGGGGGAGACGTGTAGAAATGGCGGGAGCTGTAATTACGACATGACGATGGAAACGTACTCCTGTAGCTGTGGAGACGGTTTCCAAGGCAACACCTGCGAGACCGGTGAGATATCATTCGTGTGTGTCGGCATTTTTTCTCTAGAATTCATATATTCTCATTTGTCTATCTATTACTTTTCGATTTTGCCAGTGGTGATTTGCCCTAGGCACTCCCAAATGCGCTGATCTATAGCACGTACGTATGCATTTCATGAAAGAGACTTTGCGTAGGCTACAAATTTTGAAACGTGATACTCTTGAAGCGGCAAAATAATATCCCGATATCAAAAATTCAATACACTTGAGATGGTTAAGAGTAGAGAGGTGTTTACTTAATGTTATGTAGCATGCTAAGGATTAGTTAATGTATGAAAATGTGTCTTGGTTAGTGAGGTGTCCTGATCTCAGAAGAAAAAGTGTCCTTATTAGTGAGGTGTCCTGGTCTCAGAGGAAAGTGTCCTGATTAGTGAGGTGTCCTGATCTCAGAAGAAAGTGTCCTGATTAGTGAGGTGTCCTGATCCTCAGATCTCAGAAGAAAGTGTCCTTATTAGTGAGGTGTCCTGATCTCAGAAGAAAAATGTCCTGATTAGTAAGGTGTCCTGATCTCAGAAGAAAGTGTCCTGATTAGTGAGGTGTCCTGTAAAAGGAAAACTGTATGCCTTTTTCACTATACCCTTCTTCCCTGTTTAGCCACCAGTGGTTGCCGGGACAACCCCTGTAAAAATGGAGGGACGTGCACCGAAGGGCCTGGCAGTACCATATCTTGCTCCTGCCCTCCCGGTTACCATGGAGACCTCTGTCAATATTGTGAGCGAAATACACAAACAGAAGCCACCGTTTGATACTTGCAAAGTAGCCAACATAATATGCTGTTTATTTGGATTGACTTACGTAGAGTGAAGTTTAGTTGACATGTAGTTTTTCACACATGAAAACTGAACAGCTCACGCTATATACATAAAAAGAAAGAAAGAAAAAGAGAAAGAAAACAGGACTTCAAAAGGGCTACAATTAACATACATATATCCATAAGGGCTTACTTGGGACTAGCAAAAACACGCGAGCTGGGTTTAGTAGCGAAATGGCACATACAATTAATATGCACCCACGAGTGTTACTTTATCTCTTGTTGTTTCCCCAAGTACATCAACTGCTGTACATCAACTGCTGTACATCAACTAAGTAAGATAGGCAGCTTGTCTACTGGAATCTAAAAGCATTAGAAGCCCTCGGGCTGTATATTATAGCGTCCTCATTGCGCTCGGAATAGGGCTCTCGGGCTTCTAAAGTGCTTAGCTTGTTGTTTCCCCAAGTACATCAACTAAGTAAGATAGGCAGCTTGTCTACTGGAATCTAAAGCATTAGAAGCCTCGGGCTGTATTTAGCGTCCTCATTGCGCTCGGGAATAGGGCTCTCGGGCTTCTAAAGTGCTTAGCTTGTTGTTTCCCCAAGTACATCAACTAAGTAAGATAGGCAGCTTGTCTACTGGAATCTAAAAGCATTAGAAGCCCTCGGGCTGTAGCGTCCTCATTGCGCTCGGAATAGGGCTCTCGGGCTTCTAAAGTGCTTAGCTTGTTGTTTCCCCAAGTACATCAACTAAGTAAGATAGGCAGCTTGTCTACTGGAATCTAAAAGCATTAGAAGCCCTCGGGCTGTAGCGTCCTCATTGCGCTCGGAATAGGGCTCTCGGGCTTCTAAAGTGCTTAGCTTGAGTGGTAAAAATCTTGAATGGTAAAAATCTTCTCAAAATGCAAAAAATTGAGTACGTGCTTTCTAGTACTTCCGACATTTCTTTTTCTAATCCTATACTCTGGAAAAAACTCTGTAACCGAGAGCTAGTTACGGAGTTTTTATTCCTAGTATAAAAGATGTCAAAACCTTCTCATGCATCGGCGAGTATATACTATCTATGTACTATGGGACCTTTGTACTGTCAGTGCCTTTGCTACACCTACTCATGGTCTATGATTCATACAATCGCGAGTCACAGCAGTATTCATACATCCATCACTACCGTATTTAACTTGAGAACCACCTAGCCACTACATTGTCAGGCCACCTACTTATCGTCTAGATCCATACAATCGCGACGTCACAGCAGTATTCATACATCCATCACTACCGTATTTACACTTGAGAACCACCTAGCCACTGCATTGTCAGCCACCTACTTATCGTCTAGATCCATACAATCGCGACGTCACAGCAGTATTCATACATCCATCACTACCGTATTTCACTTGAGAACCACCTAGCCACTACATTGTCAGGCCACCTACTTATCGTCTATGATCCATACAATCGCGACGTCACAGCAGTATTCATACATCCATCACTACCGTATTTAACCTGAGAACCACCTAGCCACTACATGTCCAGCCACCTACTCATGGTCTATGATTCATACATCGCGACGTCACAGCAGATTCATACATCCATCACTACCGTATTTACTTGAGAACCACCTACCACTACATGGTCAAGCCACTACTTATCGTCTAGATCCATACAATCGCGACGTCACAGCAGTATTCATACATCCATCACTACCGTATTTCACTTGAGAACCACCTAGCCACTACATTGTCAGGCCACCTACTTATCGTCTAGATCCATACAATCGCGACGTCACAGCAGTATTCATACATCCATCACTACCGTATTTCACTTGAGAACCACCTAGCCACTGCATTGTCAGGCCACCTACTTATCGTCTAGATCCATACAATCGCGACGTCACAGCAGTATTCATACATCCATCACTACCGTATTTCACTTGAGAACCACCTAGCCACTACATTGTCAAGCCACCTACTTATCGTCTAGATCCATACATCATACATCCATCACTACCGTATTTCACTTGAGAACCACCTAGCCACTGCATTGTCAGGCCACCTACTTATCGTCTATGATTCATACAATCGCGACGTCACCAGTATTATTACCGTACATCCATCACTACCGTATTTCAATTGAGAACCATCTAGCCACTACATTGTCAAGCCTCGCCAAAAGTATGGGTGAGCCTGATGGTATAGACATAATGAAACACGATCATTCGTACTTACGTGGGTATAATATTATGTAAAAACAGAAGGACTATTTGTCGGACGTGTAGTGATTAGTGTGCAATGGGTCCAGCCCAGCTGGCAATATATAGACATAATTAAAAAATCACGCTACTACAATAGGTTCTTTACTGCGTAGATTATACAGAAACACTGTCTATCATATGCATTCAGAATTGTACTGCCTTTCTCTGTTTTTTCTCCAGGTACTCAATGTTCTTCGCTCAAAAATGAGGTTAGTCTGTTGTTGTCTTTTTTCTAATTTGTTTTCTATTTTGAAGTGAGTGAAAACTCCATCTAAACATGAAATAGATTGACAAATTCAATTCATGGTCCATTATTATTTTGTGTTACAGCTGGAGACACTAAAAGAAGCAAGTCAGGCGACCAACCTACAAATCTTTGATACCAGTGAGCAAATTAAACATAATAGTAATTAACCCTCGGCGCGCATGCGCAGCGAGGGTTACAGTACTTGGTCTGTCCGGCTGTCGGTCCGCTGTTCCACGTTTTCTGCCACCACGCGCGACAAACAGGTAAAATAGCGACACCAACGGGTTCAGCGCTACACCCGCTTCATTTTTAAAATGGAGATTTTTGTAAAAGTGCCGCGTTCAGAAGTTATGGCATGAAAACCAAGTGAACAAGCCAATATGCAAATTAGAATTACCACAGGCTTACCTCGACCGGGTCCGCTTGCTCTGTGTACCTTGGAGGCACAAGAAGTCACAACGAAGGGCGTGTATCGACTATCTACTACTGTGGCTAGCCCGTGTCAGACTACTCTAGCGGGAGACCACGAGTAAACGCATACTACAAATAGCCCAGCCCATCAATTAGCGGTACCGCGCATGCGCAGTTCGCCGAGGGTTTGCACTTTAGTGCTTTTCATTATAGTTGCAGTGGAACCTCTGTACACTGGGACCTCTGTACACTGGGACCTCTGTACACTGGGACCTCTGTACACTGGGACCTCTGTACACTGGGACCTCTGTACACTGGGACCTCTGTACACTGGGACCTCTGTACACTGGGACCTCTGTACACTGGGACCTCTGTACACTGGGACCATAAAAACAATTTAGACATTAAATAATGCACAAAACTATTACGTATATAGCACCGGATGGAACTAAGTGTGTTGTTTTATTTCGAGTTGTTTTATTTGTGGTGTCCGTTAAAAAGGTTTTCACTGCTGCCAGTAAGTCTATTTCTATCTTCCTCTCTATTTAGTAAGAAGATCAACAGGACTGAGATTCTTCAAACCGTGGATAGAAATAGATCACTACAGAGCAATTTTCATTCGTCATTTCGCCATTGGATCGCGACACTTTATCGGGATGGTCATTGAAAACGCTCACCACATCAACGGAGGACTGGTCATTTACGAAATTTTCGATTCGGAGAGTCTCAGCCAAATACAGACGCTGGGTAACAGTTCGACGTCGTCGTTCAAAGTATTCGAAAACGACGGAAAGGTTCAGATGCTCGTCGGGAATTACTACGAGCCGGGCCGAATAGCGCCTCCGGACGTGAGTTCGAAGCTGTATACGTGGAACGAGAACACGAGCAGGTTTTACATGACGGGCGAGGTTAACGTGTACGGGGTCCGCGACGTCGATCACATAAAGTTGGCAAACAACGATTCTTTTCTGGCTCTTTCGGTGCACGATGACACGCGCACTTACGACCTCCCAACGTTCATCTACCGATACATGTCTTCCGAGGGGCGGTTTTACTGCTATAGACAATTGAGAACTACGGCAGCGAGACGGGTTAATTTTTTCACTTTCAATTCGACTCTGTACCTTTTTGTGGCAGAGCGAGTCAACACGGACAACTCACACAATACCAACTCTTCCGTGTACCGGTGGAATTCTACCGATTTCATGCTCCTGCAAGAAATCGAGACGATAGGTGCGTTTGATCTCCTCCCCTTTTCCATTGGAGATTGCTTCTTTGTCGTTGCCGTTAACAACAGACACAATCACTCATACAACGTACAGTCGAAAGTCTATCTCATGATAGATGGCGTTTTCAAGTTTTTTGCCTCGTTGGACACTCGCGGGGCGACTAAAACCGACTTTTTTCGAATCGGTCTCGAATCGTTTCTCGTCTTTTCAAACTCGCACGATGACGGAAGCGTTATTACAAACTCAGTTGTATACCGATTCGAAGGTGGAACATTTGTAATACATCAAGAGATCCTCACGCAGAACGCAATGTACGTTCATTTCTTTACACTCGAGAACGGTAGCCCAGCCCTGGCCTTTGCAAACAAGGCAGGTAAACCCGCGTTGTATAAATGGAAGTCGCTAAGTTACATTTGCCCCGAGGGAAATTGCCAATAATAAACTCCCATTTTCAGCTTCAAAGATCATAGTTCACTTATTATCACTTATACCTTACGACAAAAACTGGCTTTCTTTTTTTCATCAATTTTTCACATCTGAAGAAATCATCATTCTGCTAACTGTCTCTCTTGTATAATAACATAGTTGGTTATTTTGCTGTATTATTCATCAACAAAATTATCGAAAGTTATAATTATTATATTATATTCACCCTCTTTTGTGTATGTATATTCTACGATGTGCTGTTTAACAGATACTACCTTCTTAAATTGTGTATTTCAAATTTCAAACTCTTATCACATGATTAACAATTTTTCAGCACTAACCCAGGCGTCAGTTAACACTGTAAAAACAGTGCTTCGCATCATTAACAAGTTTTTGCAATGTAGAGCCTGATTTAAAACATTTTCCTTTTAGCTCTGCTTTAGTAGCTTCCCTCTGCTTCCCAAAGTTGCAGCAGCAGCACTATTATAGCACCGATAAGAATACCAACTGGACCACTTAGCACAGTTCCAGCTACAGATCCAGCCCGGGCCCTCCTGCACCTCCCACAAGCCAATTTCCCCACACAGACCTTTTTTTCAGATATTTGTGCCACACTTTGGCCGCTTCTTCTGTAACGTTTTCTCAATATCCTTGAAAATATCTTCGGACTTGATTTGTACGTTTTAGCTACCCATTTCACTATATATTCTCCGAAGAGTATAGATGGTATAAGGATACCTGGGCTCATTTTTAGATAAAGGTTTTCGTGTTCATTCTTTTTCTCGAGTTCACCATCAATGAGCTCTATTGTAAACTTAGGACAACTTCTAACTTCAAACTTCATCAATGTATTATGGCATTGTACCTGGAGAACAATGATGTGAATTAGAACATGATTTGTGAAATTTAGGTGCGCAGTCATCAACGCCGACAAGCATTCAGCCCCTTGTGCCATCTTAGATAGTGAAATGTATCGGTCAAAGCAGGGATGTCAAACAGCAACAGAGACGCAGAATATTTAGTTGGCGCATGCGCAGTTTGGCGATGGCGTTACTGACTGGAGTAGTTTCGCAGTTACTGAATTACGGACGACCTAAGTAAGTGACTACTTGACTGCAGGATGGCAACTGGGTGGACGGAGAGACTCAACTGGGAAACTTCTTGTCTACTGTCGGCCTTCCCCAATTCGCCCGAATGTCTTTGGTGCGTATCTTAGTTCCGCTTTCGACTGGTATTACTCGGTGTATGCAGCAGTTCTGAAACAACTGGATGATCTCAGATCGGAAAATGTCGCCCTGCGATGTGAGTACCGCAATTTAACAAAACTTAGGACAACTTCTAACCTCATCCATGTATTATGGCATTACACCTGGAGAACAATGAGGTGAATTACATTTGGAGGTGCAGTCATCAACGCCGACAAGCATTCAGCCCCTTGTGCCAGCACTGCCAGTATCTTAGATATCTATAAAAGCGAAATCTATCGGTCATGCACATACAAGACTGCTGGTCAACGGAGGCGCAGAATGATTAGTTTGAATCGCCGGAGCGCATGCGCATGCAGTTTGGCGATTTAGAGTGTAGTTTCGCAGCGACGAGTTTTCGCGCGCATTGACCGCTGACCGAATTTTACGGACGACCTCAAGTAAGTGACTGCGGCATGGCGTGGAGGGGGAGACTCAACCGGGAAAGCTGTCGCCTACTGTTGGCCTTGCTCAATTCGCCCGAATCTATGGAGACCTTTGGTGCGTATCTTCAGTCCGCTTTCTACTGGTGTCACTCTGTGTATGCAGCAGTTCTGAAAAAACTGGATGACCTCAGAGCGGAAAATGTCGCCCTGCGATGCAAGTACCGCAATTTAACAACAAAGCTTAGGAGGTTGTATGTGCTGGTTCAAGATTTAACTCTTTCAGTCACGAAATCGGCTTCTGCGCCCGATCGGCGTTTTTTGCAGCAATTCTCCTGCACGCATGCGTGATTCTGCATCGACACACCCCTTTCATCCCGCGCACGCGCGATCTTTCTTCCTGCCGTTTTACACTGCCTCTGTGCCTGCCTTTCATCCTGCTGAGACATTTATGACATGTCTCACTCTATCCGGACCGTACTGAAAGGGTAGATGAAAGCAACATCAAAGCTCCGACCGCTACATCCAAGAGCCGACTGGGTGGTTCTTACCCGCCATGCCGCCCGCCTACTGGGTCAAAGTTCACACGAGTTTGTTGAGAAGTGTGTAAATTTAGTTGAAGGCCAGCGCATGCCAGTAGCGCAAGAAGAAATGATATGCGTCGGTTGTGGAGAGGAGATCGTAGGAGACTGTGACAGGAGAAGTTTGGGAAGTGCTTCCTCGATTCATGCCGCCGCCTTCTGTCCTTGGAGGGCGCTAACGTCGTGTACTACTACACTCCGCGCGTAAACAAAAATGACGTAACCATAATGACGCCGTTTTGAAATCTGATTGGTCATGGTATACTGCCGCTATTCTGCTTGTTGCACAAGTGTATGATCCCGATTTTTGAGGGTGGGTCAGGACTAGTTTATGGCCCTGTTTTTAACTGCACAACATCCTTTATAGCCTCACACCCACTCTCTGGTGAAAGTAATAGCCAAAGAATAATAGTTTGCCTGTACAGACTTTTATGTCCTCCTGTTCAAAGTCATAGTCCTGCAGGTGTTGTTCATGGTCTTATAGTTTGGAGGTATATAGCTATGCAGCACACCCCCAAGGTGCACCTTTTCTGATCAAAATCATAGTCCTAGGTCAGAGTGAGGTTGTTCTCGGTTGGGATGCTTTCTCACATGTCTTTTTACGCTACAGAATGCAGTTGACCGAACAGACTTTACCTCTCATACATGTGTTTTCTATAATCCAAGTCATAGTAATTCCTAGAATACGCAACATCTCATTTGATGTAAGTCATAGTCCTGCCACAGGTGTTGTCTAAACCCGTTAGCTGTTCACAACACACCCCTTATAGCCTTATACCTAAGTTACTAGCTATCTGCCATAAGGTATATAATGTATAGTATATATGTATACACCAGACTTCATGTCCCTCCCATCTAAGTCATAGTCCAGCAGGTGGTGTTGTTTCATACAGGACACCCACTTAGCCTCATGCATAATTATTTGTTGGATATCCCTAGGCAACAAATCTGTTGCAACAAACAAATCCTGTCCTGCTGTCCACGACTGCAACATAATAGGCAACCGACATGTATGAAGCTGGGTACTGGGGGATTTTATCAGCCTATACAATCCTACATGTCCAAGCAGGGTTCATACATGTCATTTGCCTAGGGATATCCAACAGGGGCTCATAATTATAATTATCTGGGTTCATACAGGTCGGTTGCCTAGGGATATCCAACAAATCCGTTGCAGTATATACCCAGACAGGACAGCATTCGCCCTTACAGGGCTCATGCTGTCCTGTCTCGGCACTTATTATAATAATAATAATAATATTCATACTCCAATGTGTTGACTGTGCAGACTTCATGCATGTCTCCTCTGATGCAAGTCATAGTCTAGCAGGTGTTGTTGTTTCATACCGAGGACACCCACTTAGCCTCATGCATATAAAAATGGTCTTCTTGCAGACTTCATGATGCAAGTCATAGTCTAGCAGGTGTGTTGTTTCATACCGGGACACCCCTTAGCCTCATGCATATAAAAATGGTCTTCTTGCAGACTTCATGATGCAAGTCATAGTCTAGCAGGTGGTGTTGTTTCATACCGAGGACACCCACTTAGCCTCATGCATATAAAAATGGTCTCTCTTGCAGACTTCATGATGCAAGTCATAGTCTAGCAGGTGGTGTTGTTTCATACCGAGGACACCCACTTAGCCTCATGCATATAAAAATGGTCTTCTTGCAGACTTCATGATGCAAGTCATAGTGGTGTTGTTTTTTCAGCAAACCCCTTATCCTCATACCCTGGACTGAAATTCGAGGTCCCACCAGCCTTAAAACCCCACCCAAATAGCTGACTCTCCTTAGTGAAAACCTTGAATACGTCTGGAAAATACAGCTTCAACTTTCGAGCAAAATATAATTATCCCATAGCGTTAGCTATGTGAACGTTGGTAGGTGTGGTTTGGCTAAGAAAACTGTCATAGCGCTGCGTTTCAATCGCGTAAAATCTAGTCATTCGCTACTCTAGCTTTCTGAGAGTCTGACACGGGCTATAGCTAAACTAGTAGATGGCTTGCAATTTTGGCATACCCAGACTCGACCCTCCGTTGTTCTTCCACGGTACGCTAACAGCGCGGAATGCAGTCGAGGTAAAGTGACGCCGTAACAGCGCCAAACGAACCGTTCGCTCCCGGTGAAGTCGCGCACTGGTTTTCTCTCCCATAGAGAATGTATGGAGGAGGAATATAAATAATATGCTAATAAGCTTGTAAAAAAACGTAAAGAATCCGACAAAAGCACCAAAATTTATATTGAAAAAATAAACTAAAATATCGACGTCCTCGCGATATTGCTCCAGCCCAGACCGTTCAGTAGCGTACCAGGGGGGTGATATGGATCGTATGGTGCGCCAAATTTCGTTAGTGCACGCACGCGTTGGATAACGCCGCTTTAGCCATACTGCCTAACCGCTGTTTCCGTGCTAAAGCGATTTGCTGGGTAGTCTATGCGCTTTAGCTGCGTCTTGACATCGCATTTCTTAACGCGCATCCATGCTCCATTCCAACGTGCAATTCAAAATTGCGCGATGGTTTTAGCGCACGCTGCTAAAAAAGCAATCAGCGCTTCCGGCGTTATTGCGCGCTAACCAACGCGCTGCGCATTACAAACACGGGTTGAATTTCGCGGTAAGTAACGCGTTGTGAAGACAGGTTTGTTTTGACTAAAGCGCTTAGACGTTCGGCGAACGCGCTTTAGCTAAAACGGTCTTGATCGCGTTAGCGCGTAACAGAAGCCAAAGCGTGCGTGCACTAACGCCCATTGACGCACCAAACAGCCGACCGCGCCAGGAGTGCGCGCACACGTGATGAAATCGGCCTCTTGCGCATGCGCAATAATTGTGTTATACTTCCGCCACGGTAACACCCCTTATTCGCAAATGCCACTGCGTTGGAAATCAGAAAAAGGAAAAGACCGTGTTACACGCCAAACGTGTCTGTTTATTTTAGCCTAGCCAGTCAGCCTTACAAATGGAGTCGCTATTGTCAGAAAATTTATTCACGTTTATCAAGAGAGTTGAGAATATGTTTTACGGTCTTATGGGTGGCTTTCAGCGCCTACAGCCGGCACTACAAGAACTGGAGAGATCGATCGATTTGAGTAGTGATGTGGTTGTCAGACAACAGTACCGCACCCTGCGGCGAAGCCTCTCGCGCGGAATCAGCAAAGTAATAGATGTCTTTGATCTACTGAAAGGCATTCTATGCCTCAAACGTGACAGAAAGAGATGGGAGAGGATTAATATAGAACTAACGACCACAACTGACAGCGAAGACGATCCAGGGACTAGTGTCGATAACGAAACAACCTTCCGTCATCTCCTTGACTTTGAAGCTGAGTTAAAAATACGCGTGGATGAATTAAACGAAGCTCAACGGAAGGTTTGTATGGCCTGTCACCAAATCAAGAGTGATCAACAAGAATTTTTAGCAATGTGCGGTTACAGCTACAGACTGCCCAATAATGAAATTAGTGTCGCTTCAACTGACCTAATACTGAGCAGTTTGTGGATTGCCAAATTTGCAACTCTCAGTATCCTTACTTTTGGAGCTTGGATTTTGTTTCTGGGGCTGATGACTAGTGCAAACCCTCTCATGAAAAATATTCTGTTGGGGTTCAGATTTCAACTTGGTGTTGTATTTCTTGTTTTTCTTGCCGTCTGCCACCGGCTATTTTCTAGGAAGTACCGGAGTCTTGAAAGTGAGAGATTAAGGAGAATGGAAGCAGTTCGTACAATGAATATGATTATCTCCGAAATATGTAATCATTCCGAGGTGAATTCTATGGATCGCAAAAGAGTTCCAATGTCTGAAATTAGAATTACAACTGATAGATTTTTCTCGCTTACACATCATGAAGATCTCTTCAATTACAGTGATGCCAATAGAGCTGAACTTCAAGAAATAATGAGTGCATTATAGCTTTGATGTAGCAATTATGGTTTTTATGTAAAAATAAACAGTGAAAGCATATATAGCTATATGCAAACGCTTACACATTAAAATTAATTTGTCAGTCAAACAAGAAGTGACCAATTGTTGGCAATTAACCAACGTAAACCACTGTATGGCGTATTCTTATGCGGAGAGAATGCACCGCCTATGATTTTGCTTTTATGTTAACAAGTACAGTATATAGCACGTGTGTTACTGAACAATGGTACTGTATACTCACAGTCCTGGACACATATAATATAAATATTACCTGTGTGCATGAAAGTGATGCTCCAGCAGCTATGTTTCTTTATCTTACCTGTTTGGTTATATAAGGTTTTAGTTAGTATTTTCCATTGAGGCTTCACCACAAGTATGCAGTTTGTCCTTTTAGTCAGGAGCCGCTGTTTTAATTTGCTGACATTACGTATAATTATTACACTCTTCAGTAGCTTAAGAGACTCCTGTAACAGCTAGCGCACTTATAGTCATGTGAGCTGGTGTGTTTTGCAGACATTAGTCTCCTCTGATTCATAGTTCTGGTGTTTGCAGACACTGAGTCTCCGTAATGTAATTCATATAATAATAGTCCTGAACAAGTGTTTTGCAGGTGTTTTGTATGTTGCATAATGGCCTGATAGATTATGGGGGGAGATTAGTGTCAAAATTACGCACACCAACGTTCATTAAATAAGATAGTCGCATTTGTACATATACTTGGGTAGCTATATACCCAGTTCTCATTTGGGCGTTTTTTTTATAGGACCCTGCAGCTATAATATAGCTGTTGAAATAATCCTCTAATCTAAACCCTGTATTCTCTAACAATAGAGCTCTCTGTAAGATACATTGGGGAGTCTCAATTCAGATAACTCGCTGAACTGCACTTTTCATTCTCCTGTGCGCTTGTGTTTTGCAGACACTGAGTCTCCTAGTTACAGATGGTGTTTCAATAATCATTTGACTGTTTGATATTCAGCATTTTGATGATCTAAGTCAATAGTCATCCTAATACATAGGATTATTTAGTACCTAGTTAGAATTTTGGATCGTTATTAGGCGCCTTATAACAGTTTTCATATAAGCTTGCACATTTTGGGCTCAATGCATTACTATCTAGGTTATATACATGAAAGATGAAAAAATAATTACACAAGTATATTTATATAAAAGTAGTAGCATCAGTATAATAATATTGACTTTAGAGCAGCATTGCTATCCTGCATTATTGTTGCAAACACAAAGTTTCAGTCATCTTTATAGTTCAAAGCTAAATTTTTTTCATCTTCAAGGTCTTTACCCTTTTCAAGTATTCTAAAAATATCTGTAAATGTTACTGTAATTGTGCTAAGTAGAGGATGCAGTCGTTCAATATTTTTTCTTGCAATTTTAAAGGATGTTTCAGCTTCTCTCTTCTTTTCGACCATTTCTGCTATTGCATCCAGGTTCCGAGCATATTTGTTTAGCTTATCGAGTTCTATACTTAGCTGGCAACTTTCATATTCCAATTGTTTAAAATCTTTTGATGACTTGTATAAGTACAATCCAACACCAATCCCTGTGGGGACAAACATCAAACCGAACAGCCCACCTGCAAACAGACCAACACACACTGCCACTGTTCCAGTGGTACATCCTGTGAATAGTGCTGCTTTACCTCTTCCGTGTGCCTCATATTCATTCTTTTTAGCTTCTTTAGATGCCTCCGCAGTTTTTTGCCTCACTGCTTCAAAATCTTTATGTACTTTTTCTAGTTTGTCTTCCACAATCTCAATCCAAATATCAAGCCTACTGAGAAAGTCAATAGTAACTTTAAATTTTGCATTATTTTTTGGGTCAAATGTTGCATTTGAATCCTCTGAAGACAATTCAGCTGAAATTGACTCTTTGTCAAATTCAGGATATCTACACACTAACTCTATAAAGTTAACAACCTCTTGATGAAGTTTTATGACATCATGTTTTAAACCGCGGTGCTTGCTTCTATGTTCAGCATTTTTAGATTTCAGGTCACGCAGTTGATTCAGAACAGCTTTGGAAATAGAAGAACAACATTCAAATATGCACTCAATAAACAATTTGACGCTTTCCCTTGCGACAGTAAGCAATCGTAACATTGTAGAAGAAGACTCGTTATTCTCCTCTTGGGACATTTCGGTAGTCAGTGGTAAGCAAAGCGGGCCCACCTAGTGACCCGACCTTCCCCATTGCAGTGTGTTTTATACGTCACAAAGCTATATAATTCTCAGCCGTATCGCCAATCTCCAGTATACGGAGTTTTATTGAAAAACAGACAACGGTTACGCGTGAAACATTCCATCGTGTAATTAACGGCGCCAATTAGTTCGTCAGTATAATAATATACTTCTCCGCTGACTTATGCGCTTTTCTTGCTAACGTGCCTCCAGAAGTACATCTTTGCTTTTATGAACCCACGTAGCAAACATCGAACACTTACCGTTCAGCCGCGGGCACACACCGGCTATGCGGGGTAACCACAGCGCTTCGGGGTGTGGCAAATCCCAGAACGTTGCGTGCCACAGAAGAATGGCTTCAAGAGCGCGCGCCGCCTGTGTGCACGCGCATAATTACCTTCGTGCGTATTTTTTTTACGTCCGTCGTGTAAGTGCGCATGCGCGGCTTTGTAAGCGCTTCTTTTTATCCGAAATTACTTCCAAATTCTTTTGCACATTTTCACACACGGTGCTCGCCAGCGAGAGAACTCTCCTCCATTCGACGGCATGCGCTGCAACCTTCGGTGACTGACCGAGGCTGTACCTCTTCCCAATCTTCATGGTTCCAAGCTGCAGCTTGCAAATACGCTAGGATTGCTCGTGCACATACTGCTGGGACCAACTAACACACGCCGCGTTGTCGGGCTGCCCGATCGATCGCTGCCTAGCCTACTGCCATGCCAGCTGCCTGGTGGACCACGACTGACGAGCTGAAAGCGTAAGGTAAGTACCGTTCTGCTCACCTGCTCACCGTTCTGCCAATGTACAATACGCACATAACGGCGACAGGTAGATCTGTCTTGCTTCACGAAAGGAAAGCTGTGCGCTGACGGCACGTTATGCAGCCCAAACATCGCGGGCAAATCCCAAGTTGGGTCGCTCCCGCTCGCCAACAATGTTTCTATCTGGATGACGTCTCCCATCGCGCATCCCCCATGCGATCGATTGCGTAAACACTAACGCATGCGCACTAGGGCAACGCTGTATTATAATGCTGCTGCATGCTCTATATATAGCTAGCTCCCAAGGCGCGCTGTTGAGAGCGAAAAATGACGGCTTGTAAAGGGGCTCAATACAATATTACTAGTAGGCGAATGCATGGCATTTTTGGCGAGCGGGAACGAGCACACAATGACTCATCTGCACGAGCCAACGAAGATTGGAAGGAGGTTTAGACAGCCTCGGTCAGGTATCGAAGAGCGCAGCGACAAATAGACGAGAGTTGTTTGGCTGGCTATATTTCGCATCGATACGACAGCTAGGTGTAGCGTGTAAAAATTTGCGCGTTCCCTATCACGAAAGCGACGCTGATACAAACTAGCCTCTCTGCTCAGGAGTCTCATGGGCACGATGTTCTCTTTCCCACTCTCTTCGACAACGAAGGGCATCTTCCCAGGACTATATGCACATGTGTATACGCACGACATCACAGGCAGCATGTGAAATTTTGAAATCCTTTCGGATAAAACGAAGCGCGTAATCCTGGAGCATGCGCACTTACACGACGTGTACGGCCGGACGTATATAAAAATCGCGCCTTTCGTACCACGCTCCCCCGCTCGCCAATTACTAGTAGGTGAATGCATGGCATTTTTGGCGAGCGGGAGCGAGCACACAATGAACGACTGTCTCGACGGCAATTCGCCTTGTCTGACTCTTCGGATCTGTTGGAGCCTGGCCTGTTGCGTTTCCTCTGATTCCGCAGCACGTGTATAGCTCTTGCTCGTACACGACTTCTCGCCAGGAATCGACTAATATACCTTAATCTGTTGCCCCTGATGATGGAGTTTGAAATTGTTGACATTATGTTTCTGGTCAAGTCTGTAAAGTTTCCATCCGGCCATTTCAATATACACGAGTTTGTCCAGTTCTGTAATCATTCTACTAGAGCTGGCCATAGTTACAAGCTGAAACACCCCCTCGGTAGAAGTAACTATGAAAGGAACTTTTATTTCAATCGGATTCCTCGTCTATGGAACTCCTTACCTTTCTTCGATATAACTCTTTCTCCTTCTGCAATAAAATCCAAGTTACGAGCATATTTCTGGGATCATTTCATGTCCAACTTCGATTCAAACAATATGTGTTCATATCACTATCTGTGTCCATGCCCCAAGTGTTCTCAATTACCAGTCAAAATGCATTTTAATGTTAGTTTGTAATGTTTTGCGTTTGTTGTTGTTTTATCTGGCTGCTGGCTTATGCCTTCAGTCCATCAGCACAGTCTATGCATGTACTTCACCTTTTTTGTTCTTCAATTCTCGTTTTCCACCGCCTGTGTTGTAAAGCATAATAATAATAATAATAATAATAATAATAATAATAATAATAATAGTCGTGCTTCCCTTTCTTCCGCTGTTTCCGTGGCCAGGCGTTGCCTTGCCTGTTCCCTATCACGCAGTCGCCGTCGAGAGAGACGAGCCTCTCTTTGCTCAGAAGTCTCACTGGCACGACGTTCTCTTTCCCTTTCTCGTCGACGACGCGACGAAGGGCATCTTCTCTAAACCGATCCATCCAGAAAGTGTGGTTGGCTTCCAACACACGAGAAATATACGGTGTAAAAATTTGAAATGTTTTTCGGATAAAAAGAAGCGCGTGGACGACGTACGGTCGTAGATAATAATATTAATATATTTGTCTTTTTCCCTGTGATCTGAGGCTAAAAGCATAATTATACATGCAGAGTTTTCCTCAGATAATGTAATGCCTAGGCTCGCCTCATGCACCTCGAGTATAGAGTCATCGCCACATTTGGTGCAGACTCTGCAATAGACTGAGAGGAGTGGATGATAACACTGATTCTTTAGTGGTTTGGACACTATCAATGCACATGCATGATCCGAGGTTTTGCACTTTAGCATTGCAAGTATATTATTGTACCCTGTAATTTGGGTCTATAATGATGTCAACACTCCAGTGCTGACATTACGAATATACACACACCTACAGTTAGTATCTGGAACATATAAAAGTGAAGGCACTGATCAGTGTAAGCAGCAAAAAGAGGACTTAGCTATAGCAGCAGCAAGTATGAACCGAATGATGAATACAGAGTAGAAAGAACCCCACCTCCACCTCCACCCACAATCCTCTGGGGCACTAAGACGTTGACGAGCGAGTCCGCATTTTAGTTGTCTGTGATTCCTCCTCTGGTGCCGATCCATCCTTCAACCTTTTCCTCCGTTCCCTCTCTCTGTTTCTCTGGGTCTCCAGCCGAGCCTTCCGCTCCTGATCCGTCTCTTCTCCTCGGCGACGCACCCCCCACGCGCGCTGAGCTGCCAGCCGGGCTTCACGCTCTACGTCAGTTTCCAGTCCTCGCCGACGCTTCTCGCGGATTCTCTGATTGGTGAGGCGCGTCTGTCGCTCCTGCGGGGTCTCGCTCTCCCGTCTCTTCCTGGCGCGCTCCCTCTGCGCTGCCAGTCGGTACTCCCTCTCCTCTTCCGTCTCGGCCATTCGTCGCTTCCTCTCGCGGAGTCTCTGGGCCGCCAGTCTCGTCTCTCGTCCATCCTCCGTCTCCTCCAGACGGCGTCTGACGCCACTCTCCCTCTGGTTTTCGAGCCGGATATCCCTCTCTTGAGGCGTCTCCATAGCTCGGCGCCTTCTCACCTGCTCCCTGTGGACCGTCAACTTGTGAACTCTGCGATCGGCAGCCTCAGACGCTCGGTTTCTCCTCCCGCGTACTGGGCGAGAAACGTTGAGTCGAAGCTGTCTCTCTTGCTCCGTCTCGTTTTTCTCCCGACGTCGCCGTGTGCTTCGTCTCAGAAGAAAGTCGGAGAACGGGAGAGGCTGTGTGGCCATGACATGACACGGACGGTACCACACACACACACGAACACACACACAAACACAGAAGAGTCAACAAAGCTCTAATTGATGCCACCCATGACCCCGCCCACCACCAGTGACGTGTGCGGGGCGGCGCGTGTCGATCGTGTGTGCGCGCGCGCGTGGTGGCTCAGTGACTGCGCATGCGTTAGCGGAGTACACTTGTGTGACCATGACATGCAACACTATATACAAGTGGTAGGTCTATATAGCAATAGAATATAGCACTAAAGACATCCGGTTCACTAAACATGTTTGCATGTCAAGACTACTAAGAGTGACCTTAGATTGCTGTGTGGGAGTATACTACTATACCCCCCCTCCCCACACACACAGGAATTGTATAGAGGTTTTACTATAATAGCTAAGTTGGAGGAGACAGGTCACCATTGCACGTGAGCAATGTTCAAGGGGCGGACCAGACATCAAAACTGTAGAGAGATAGAGTGAGGGGGGGGGAGGCAGAAAAGAAGGGAGGGTGTTTCGTTTGTGGTGAGATTACAAAACACCTTTTTTTGCAGTGGAATTATATAGGACCCGTGAAATGAGGACACCTCTCCGTCTTAGTCACTCTATAATATGCTGGCGTATACCACGCCTTGTATATATAATGGCCTATAGTGTTGATTTCAAAGGATGGTTTCTCCCCGAAAAACCATTCCTGCATGAAATTTAACCTCTGAAATCTCAGGATACTTTATCCTGTCGCACTGTTATGTATATAAAACACTGGACTTAGAATAATAAAACATACGTGCAGAGCCCCTCAGGGTCAAGCTGAGTCTTCATGTGGTTCTGAACAACGTGGCGAAGTTGCTGCTGTGTCACGTGGAATATAATCTCTGGGTTTGGAGGTTGAGATGCAAAGCCACCGTTCTTGTATGGCAGGTTTTTCCGGTATATGTCCTGGACCTTTGCTTCTACTACCACATCATGAGCAGGGTAGGCCTGTGCAGACACACACACTGACACATGTGCAGGGAATTAACATAGCATAGTCAATCTTGTCCAAGCTTCAATACGTTATTATGGTGATGGCACATATGCACACTCATGGACTTTCCTATTGTTTTGAGGGGAAAAGTTCCAGAGCTATGTACATATCACTGATTTCCCAAACATTTGTTCTCTAGTGACAAAAAGTAGCTTATATAATAGCTATATAGCTACTGGCAAAAGGCATGTGGTGGAGCAGCGAACTAACCAGAAGCTTTGGACCACCGAAAATTGTAGCAAAAGCCTACCGCTTGCATGAGGCAGAGCAGAGAATCAAAGCCAGCCTCTGTGAAATTAACTGAGGACCAACTTTGCAGGGATCAGTCGGGTAGTATATAGACGGCGACTTTCACTTTCACGAGCAGGCTCTGTCGTTGCCGCGACGACGTTTGAGGCACTGGCGGCATTGGCCCAGGTTTCTCATTCTCTTGCCCTGCGACAACAGTACTGCGGCCTGCATGCAGCAGCCGAGCCTGAGTTTCCCATCTAACTCATGCAGTCCCGCGGCCGCTTGCGCGATTGTCGACGGCGCAGCGCACCGCGCATCGCGCATGCGCACAAGGTACTAATCATACAACCGGAAAACAATAATTGACTATAATTACCATAATATTACACGATCATCGAAGAAACGGCGATGGGAGAAACTGCAGCGAAACAGAGGATCAAAAGAGGGAGAGAAATGAGAAAGAAAGGGAGGGAGATTTGTGTATAATTACACATCGTTCAACTTTTCAGCTGTAGCTACCATTTTCTATCTACATCACATTAGTTTTTCATAGTGTTTACCTGCAAATGTTCCCAGGATCAAGATGAGACTGGAGAAGGCTTTTGACTTCATTCTGCATACTGGGGAAAGGCCTGACATAGAAGGCAACGTCTGGCTTGATGGTGGCAGGAGAGGCAATACCACTGTTCTTGAACGGCAGAGTCTTGCGATATTCATTCACTGCCTTTACACGCAGCATAACATTGTAGGTAGGGTAGCGCTGCATTGTGTAAATGTGCAAAGAGAGAGAAAAATATACACTCCTTTATTCAACTGTAAAGTACGTAGCTAATGCAGTAGATTCACCACTGCCCAATATTTATCTGCAGTGGAACCTCTGATAATCAACTCCCCCAACAGTGAAAATCTCTCTAATATGAACTTATTCCCATGTACCAACTGGCTTTACCAGTATATATATACATATACCTCTCAATAAAGAAAACCTCCGAAAACTTGCTGTCCCCATATTCTCATTATTCGGAGGTCCCACTGTATATACTAGCTAAAGTAATACAGACACTAGTTAGTCATCACATCAGCAGACCTCCCGTAGGGTAAGGAGCAGGGAGTCAAAGCCGGCCTCTGTAAAGTTGGTCGACGGACAATCCTGCAGCGACTGCTGGTAGTGAACGGTAACCTCTACCGTCCCGTTCGCCCGTCGCGTCGGCTGGACAGTCCCCGTTCTCCCGTGGTCCTGAACGTTGGATCCATTATAGCTTCGAACTCCTGGGCTCGAGTTGATGTTCCCCATGTGAAAGGACTAAAACGTAGCTCTTCCAGCGTCGGCGATATTATTACGCATACCTCCTGCCCCCCGTTTAGAACTTTAACCTGCAGTTTCGTCGTAGATATTCCACTTCGAACTCTAACTGCCCCACAGTCACAACTTCCCCGACCACATGCGCATGCTCGAACGTATTATAAACGCCTACGCGGGATTACATAACCCTTTCTGAGCATGCGCGCACGTGGACGGGAGGGGCTGTAAATTAAATAGCTAGAGAGATATGGAAGAAGAGATGTCGGCCCTGGAGAAACGAAGCGAGTCCGGACTGAGCTGGAACTACCTCCCGTTGACTCTAGAGCGGGACTCTCTGTCCCAAACGTTCACCACACAAATCCTACCCCTCGTAAGACCTGCCTGGAGAGACTGTCACGTTCAGACCAAGGTCTTCACCGACGGCATTACCAACGTTCTCCTTGGGTTCTACGTGTCACGTGAGGGCTCACGTGACCAGGAGAAAGAGGACATAGTCCTACTGAGAATGAACGGTGAGGGGACGGAGGTTTTCTTGGACAGACGAGCGGAGATATTGGTCATGTTGTCTCTACACAACGCCAACCTTGTTCCACCTCTCTATCTCGAGCTAGCCAACGGTCTCTGTTACGGCTACATTCCTGGTCGACCCTTCACCATGGACGACATGCAGGTTGTGTTTTCATGTCGTTTACTATTAAATGATTGTGCAACAAAGACGTCTTTTTATCGAACGGCGGAATTTTCATGTCCTGTTTTAATTAGTTTTAATGTCAGGTCAGAGCTTTATGTTTGCATTAATGAATGACAATTATTTTTCTCGGTATAGTGGAACCCCTCTCTAAGAACACCCCTGAAATGAGGACACCTCTCTAATAGAGACTTTTCCATGTTCCATGTACAATTTACGCATATTACATACTTTCACATGTATTGAATGTACCACAGGATGATGTAATGATGCAGCGAACAGCGCGTGCAGTGGCCCGTCTCCATGCGGTACCGGTACCGGACACCCTGCGAAGCCCCCAGCCCTACGTGTGGAATAAGATCAGACAGTTTCTGAACACTGTCACCGGCTCGTTTACTGACCTCCACAAGACTCAAAAGTACATACACATTACTCTATAGCAGTTTTTGGGATAGCGCAAAAATGTATGTTTTCTGAATTCTGCTGTAATAGTTTACCTGCTGAGTTGCCCTGGTAGCTCAGTGGGTAGAGTAGATAACAAATTGTGAATACCACCACCGTCTTTCATTGAAAGGGTGTATATAGCTGATTTTCTTTGTCGTTACCTGGTGACTCCCACCACTCCTCTGTCCAGATTTCAGGAGATATTTGGTTCGTTGGCTGTTGTGTCTGAAGAAGTCGATGCTCTCCAAATGGAACTCCGCCAATCAGAGTCGTCGCTGGTGTTCTGTCATAACGATCTGTTGTGTGGTAACCTCATCTTCGATAGCTCCACTGGTAAGCCCCTCTTATAATGTAGATGTTATTACTTATACACATGATGCACCGAATGTTTTCCGAGTGTGCATGCAATGGGCTTAGTTTTGTCTGAAATTGTGTGTGGCAACCGATCAAGCTATGCCACTGCACACCCCAACTATAGTCAAGGTATTCAGGATGGTTGGTTGGCCTGTCCTTCCCCTCCACTTGCATGTTAAAAGTACGAACAATTTAGGCCACCCTATTCTTTCACTGCTTACTCCAGCTATAGTCAAGGTATTCAGGATGGTTGGTTGACCTGTCCTTCCCCCCACTTGCATGTTAAAAGTACGAACAATTTAGGCCACCCTATTCTTTCACTGCACACTCCAGCTATAGTCAAGGCATTCAGGATGGTTGGTTGGCCTGTCCTTCCTCCCACTTGCTTGCTAAAAGTACGAACAATTTAGGCCACCCTATTCTTTCCCTGCATACTCCAGCTATAGTTAAGGCATTCAGGATGGTTGGTTGGCCTGCCCTTTTCTCCACTAGCTTGCTAAAAGTACGAACAATTTAGGCCACCCTATTCTTTCACTGCACACTCCAGCTATAGTCAAGGTATTCAGGATGGTTGGTTGGCCTGTCCCTTCCCCCCACTAGCTTGCTAAAAGTACGAACAATTTAGGCCACCCTATTCTTTTACTGCACACTCCAGCTATAGTCAAAGTATTCAGGATGGTTGGTTGGCCTGTCTTTCCCTCCACTTGCTTGCTAAAAGTACGAAGGGTTTATGAAGGAGTTCAGTTGGCTAAAGCACACTATTATGTTCTTCAGGGAACGTGTCGATGGTGGATTATGAGTACGGCGGACCTAACCTTGCTGCTTATGACATTGGAAACCACTTCTGTGAATTTGCAGGTCCTCTCTTTTGTTCTTTCACTCTCTAAGGACACCCCTGAAATGAGGACATTACTCTAATAAGAACGAACACCTTTTCTTTCCCCAGAACATTTCTTTCCCCAAGAACAGTTCTTGCATTGCTTCTTAACCTTAACTGTGATGTGGATTCTTCAATTGTGTCTGGTTAAGGGGATTTTGCATGCAAGAACTTTTCTTGGGAAAATAAGAGGTGTCCTTAAAAGAGAGGTGTCCTCATTTCAGGGGTATCCTTAGAGAGGGGACCTTATTTGGGTTCCGCTGTACGTGCTACTATGATGCAGGGCTCAGTGAACCGGTAGACTATGAGCGATATCCTTCTGAGGCAGTTCAGTACAAGTGGATCAGGTACTACCTACAGGAGTGTGCCATCATCAGAGGTTTGTTATTGCAGTGCTTTAACACTTAACCAGCCACAGACACATAAATGTGTCCAGAGCCTCCATAAGTCCATAAGAATTTATATGGGCTACTAGGTGCTAATACTTTATACATCAATTTATGCTTATTTAAGCAGATACCCATGGCATCCAAAGGGTTAACCTTGTTAAATCTTTTAGTCCCATAACAACCGACCTCTCATTTTAAGCTTCGCGGACAACCCCATCTGCCTGGTACAAGACATCTGTCACCTGAAAATAAAATACTTCTATATTATAATAGGCAGTATCTGCATAATGTATTCACTTGCCTGAAGAAGATCTCTCAGGGATCGAAACGTTGCAAGATGATTCCTTTGGTCTGTCCGCACGCGAAGCCCTTCACCCTTAGCGGTGGCATCAGCTTATTAACCTGGACACAATATGCTATTCCGGGCAAAAAACTACCTGTGCATATCCAGCATGTAGAGTTTCAGTTTTATTAGTTGGTATAATTATAAAGGAGTGCTCTTTTCTAATTCTGTAGGTCAAGGTACGGACAGTGTGACAGATGACAGCATACGAAGTCTTTACCTTGAGGTCAACCAATATGCACTGGTGGGTGTCAGCTAATGTCAACAGCACGAGGTCACATGATAAAGGCAAAGCAAACACCCAGGGGGGTAGGCTTTACCATGTGACCTCGACTAGGTAGGCCTTACCATGTGACCTCGACTAGGTAGGCTTTACCATGTGACCTCGACTAGGTATATAGGCTTTACCATGTGACCTCGACTAGGTAGGCTCGCTTCGCTCGCCAACTATAGTTGTATCCACCAACCGGGTTATCCTGGGGATCCCAGGATAACTCTTTTTTTTAAGAAGAGCTGCCCTGGGTGGAATTCGAAACCACGCACTCAGCAGTCTAGGCAGAGTGTTCTGGCAACTGAGTTACCAGGGCACCTCAGTTGGCAGGGCTTGATAATACACCAAAAGATATAATTATACATATCGATACAACTAGTTGGCAAGCGAAGCGAGCCTACTTAGTCGTTTCAATGCGGGATATATTATACTACATATTATATATTATTTATTTGTCTGTCGGGCACTGCACATACCGTAATGTTCTACTTGATTCTAAATAAGTGCAAAACACGCACGAAATATTGAACTGCTCGAGCTCACTCGCCAACAATGTGTTGCATTCCAATGGTATTCCAGGCGGCTCATTTGTTCTGGGCTGTGTGGTCATTACTACAGGCTGAACTCTCAACCATCGACTTTGACTACATCGAGTAAGACAACAATCTGTTTTTCAGGTGTTCTTTATTCGGAGGCAATATAATACACTAATTGGGGCTGAACTAAAGTGTCCTTTAACTTTAAGGTGCCCTGGTAACTTTGAGCTCTCAACCATCGATTTTGACTACATCGAGTAAGACACAACAATCATTCTGTTAATCAGGTGTCCTTTATTCGGAGGCAATATAATACACTAATTGGGGCTGAACTAATATATAAGTGTCCTTTATTCGGAGGCAATATGACTACATTGAGTAAGACAACAATCTGTTATATATTCAGGTGTTTTTTTATTCGGAGGCAATATAATTATACTATATAATTGAGGCTGAACTAAGTGTCCTTTATGGAGAGGTGTCCTAATCCAAGAGCAGGGTTTCACTTTGTATATAGCTAAAAACATCATCGTATTGAGCACTTTGTGATAATTATTATAACCTATCATGCTGCTTCGGTATTATACATTGTACATTTATAGATACGCTGGCGTCAGATTTGCCGAATACAAGCGAAGAAAAGATCTGTTTTTGAATTTACACTTAAATTTCAATTTACACTGAAGTCACTCACGTATAATTGAAGGGGTCAGAGTCAGAGTGGGCCAACCCTCAATATACAACTCTTTTTTCCAATGTTCTATATAATTTAACAAAAACCAGCAAGAGTTGTATATTGAGGGTTGGCCCACTCTCTGTCCCCTTCAATCATCTGTCAAAAATTAATAAATATTTATCCTGTTTGATATAATTACACCAGTGATATAATTATATAATTATATAATTTGCATAAATATCATCATTATTGTGATGTGGTATGTCAAAGTTGAGATAATATGATAATAGATTTGTATGTATGCGGTATGTCAAAGTTGAGATATGATAATAGATTTTCTTCTCTTGAACTCTGTGTACCTCGCACATCCATAGCTGTGTAAAAAGGACACGAGAAAATTAACCCTTAGCAAGCCACGGGCATATGTATGCCCAGAGCCTCCGTAAGTCCATAAGAATTTATATATGGTTATAATACTAGGTGTTAGTATGTTATCATCAATTTCTGCTTATTAATTAAGGAGATACCCATGGCGTCCAAAGGGTTTAACGAACAATGAGAATATGGGATTAGGGAAACTAAATGCAGCATCGCGATAGAAAGTCTGTAGAAATAATTGATTTCACATCGCGGAATACATGTGTACCGACAATGTTTACTCAATAATGTGGATTCTGAATTCCAACATATTTGCTAGCGCATGCACGTGGAGATTTGGCCGACTCAGTCAGTCGGGAAAGAGATAACTTAAGAAAGAGGTAGTATATATAGCGCCGCACGCTCGCTTGTTTTGCCACATCATGCTTGCTTATTTTGCCGCCCGCTGACGTGTTTTTGGACGAACAGACTTACTCTAGGTAGTCGAAGTTAATTTTTGAATTTTTCGACTGTATAAGTGACCAGAGGCTCCAGATAAAGTGTGCAACCTGTGACAGCATCGGGAGGGACCATAATAATGCACGAATCAACAAAGCAATGAAGATAATAATCGGAGCAGGTTTATATTATATATGCAATTTCAGAGCAAATTGTGTTATAGCAAATGGTGGGTAAAGTGGATACGTACAGCATCAGGAGGGACCATAATAATTATAGGCATGAATCAGGGCATTGGAGAAATCAGAGCAGGTTTTTTTATCATGGGGGGCTTTTTCAGAGCAAATTTGACACAGGGGAAAATACTTAGCTAGCTACTATATATACCATAGCAAAGTTGTTGGCGTCTTTATATAGTCCATCAACTTCAGCATCACTGACTGTAGCTTGGCTCAGACCTGTATATATATATAATGTGTTAATAACACACATATTATAATACCATAATGTTTGAGGGACAACTTTGGTGGCTACTGGAAAAGTATTCTGCCAAACAAACCATCATGCGGGGGTGGGGGATGGGGGATGGAGGGTGATTATCTTTTCTATGCTATAAACATACTTTTGATTTCCATTATCTATATCTATGGCTAGTATGCTATAAACATACTTTTGATGTTTTCTACGCACACTAGCAACCTAGCAATTTGTTATGGAGTTTCCCACTATCGCTACGTAGGGTAGTACTTGGTATGTAGTAGAAATTTCGTTTACCCTTTATTCTTGCACACTCGTGTAGATAGCTGCGGATCCATTTCTTCTGGAAGATTTCACTAGGATACCTACTGTAGTCCAGTGTGCCATGAACACCTGATAGAGAGAATATAATTGGAGGGAACCCCTCTCTAAGAGGACACCCCTGAAATGAGGACACCTCTCTAAAAAGGACAACTTTTCTTTCCCCAGTATAACTCCTGAAATAAGGACACATCACTAACGTGAACACTCGATTCTGTCCAACTGGTGTCCAGATTAGAGGGGTTCCACTTTATAGGCATAGCATAGAAAGAAAGAGTCAAGACAGGGATGACAAGTGATGCAGTATAATAGAAGAGTAGATGATGGACACTAGCCGGAGTTGCTCATGAGGAGCAGTGCTGTTTTCCCAGCTTTTAGCTTTTTAGAACTCCCTCTCTTTGCTCATTGTGAAAAAATGTACTACTTAGTTAGAAAAGGGGACATCAAAGACGACAGTTACTCTGATTTTCTAGGGTAACCCAACCAAATCACTACTGTGGTATAGTGCCAATGTAGTAAGCATAGAGCCACACCTAGGGGTTAAACTACATGGAAGAACACGAAGCTAATTACACGACAAGTTGTTGCCGAACTACCCAGAGAAAAGAGAGCACAATTTAATATATATACCACTCGAAAACTCGTGCTATATTAAACGTATCATTACCTCAGCTATAGCTTTTTACCTGCAAACTCACAGAAGAAAGCACCGACGTCGAAAGCAGCATAGTTGACGTCACTGTACTCCATATCAATGAGAACAACACTACCTGTAAGATAATATATAGTAAAAACATCAACATAATGGCCTTGCTTTAAAGACCCTACCACTTCCCACTTCTTCAGTTTTTTACACTCTTCACTGAGAAAGAGAAAAAAACCTGGCTACAGTCTCTTCGCAGTGGTGAGTGTAAAGTAGAGCTATTCAAGACCGGTCAAGGGATGTAACTAATAGCCGACCTGTTGGTGTCTTGACAAAGTTGAGTGGTTGAGGATCGTTGTGGCAGAGAACGCAGGCTGACTGGGAAATTCCCCCTGAGCCTTCTTCCTCACTGTCGCTAGCAGCAGGATAGTGGGTTCCAATACCATTCACCTGTGACCAATCTAACAGAGAAACAGTATATATAGCTAATATTGATACAGAAATTGTAATTTGGTTTGGCAGTTGCACTTGAAATCACCAAATTTATACACCCTGTTAGCTGGTTAATGCGCCATAACAGTCGAATCATTCTTGCCAAATGCATACTATAGTCGCCAAATATAATGTCTTCTGTCATCGTTCCTAGTAAAGTTACACGCTAACTGCCAATAGTAGTTGGCCTGAGGACGCACCAGTAGAGGGGGCTCTGAGAAATGTCCTGAGCCACTCCATTTCCAGTCTCAGTTCCTCCACTGACCCAAACACCTGTTTGAACCTGGTGGGTTATATACAGTAGTCTTCATAGTTAGAATACACTTAGAGTTCCACAAAATATTATGCTAAGTGGTGGTTACTTTCTGTATAAGGGGTCCAGTGTATTGTTTACGGCCAAGAACCAACAAAAATGTGTTGCGTTACTATTGGCTGGAGATTAAATGTTATTCATAGGCTGTGGAAGCTAAATGGGCCTTTGGGTATATAGCTTGTGCAGATAGCACGTGTTCCGTTATCAGATGCACAATATCAGGGGAATCAAGTTTCTATGGTTGCATCCAGAATTGTGCAAGGCATTTTGGCAAGCATGGAACTTTATGCAGGTGTATTTCTCCATTATAGCAGAAGTAACATTCTTGTCGGTTTAAAATACACCACGCAATTCAAGATCACCTGGGCCCACTGGTGCTCACGAACTAGCTATACTCTACTCTACTATAGCATAATCATTGATGCAAAATGCATTAAAAATCATGCAAGTTGGACCAACACGCTCGCCAATCTCGCTAACCTCGGGGATGCCAGATCATCTGTGTGTAAGGACTCGGACACCAGTTTCATCCACGTGCGGGCCTGTCGCCATACCCACGGACCCCTACCACTGATAGACGGTGGGGGAGGAATGGAATGATAGCGAGCCAGAGCTCGTGACGTCGCCTCCAACACTTCCTCACACTGCGTAAGATTACATAATCTCATCCTATGTCACTGTTCAGATAAATCACCAGTAATGTTAGTTTTGCCGCTTTAGAAACAAGTAAACATTTTAGCACAAAGACATTGTTTGTTCACACACACAGATAGGTTCCCCCATTGCTCAGTGAATATCAAAAGACAGGATCTGCAAAATACTGTAACAAGTTTAATTAAGAGTTTGCCCAAACATTTTTTCAACACACGTGCCAGAAGTCCTGCTAGAATGATTCATCCTTACACGGGCTTTTCGCCCTATACAAACCCTGTATAATATATCGCTGTCTTTCATAATGTAGTAAGCTATTGCACAATTCCTTCCCACAGTGAGTAGCTACAAGCTTGCATCAGCAACTGTTGCCTGGATACCAATGCCCTATTTACTACCACCTTGTGTGTGATGTGTGTGTAAAGTGTGCTTTTATACACACACCCATCAGCCCACGCACACACGTGCACATAATGCAAAAATGGTTTTGCCTGCATTTCGTTCCCGGCAAGTGCTCGTCCGGGGATATAGCCGTAGCACAGGGCGTTCTCCGCAACGAGGTACAGCGGCGGGCAGAGGCCGGATTTATGAAGGGTTAGTATCACCAGAATCTCCGTCTCTCCATCCACGACTAACTCTCGCCCTTCCCCGTTGACTCGTACTAATACCGCCGTACTATCGTCCGCGCTAGAGGACGCACCGGGATCTTCTCGAAAGAATCCTAATAGTTTGTTAGTGACGCCGTCCTCGAAGACGCGGTGCCAGAGCAGTTTTTCGGTCCAACTGGGCCGAACTAGCGGCATCACGTGCTTCTGAAAGTCTTTCACTATGCTGGTCTCGTCCGCGGAGAAGGAGACGGGGAGGTAGTCCCACGATAGACCGCCGTGATGGCGTCGCTCAACCGGAGGCGCGTGGAGATGACAATAAAGTCTAAGATCTTGGTCACGAGCCAGTAGAAGTGAGTCAACGCCGTCGGTGAGCGGTTCGTTCATGGTCGACGCACTTTGTTTTGCCGGAGAAGCTTCCTTTGGTGGTTGAGCTGGCAACGCAGCCATGACTTTCTTCTTTATGCTTTTCTCTTACTACAGTCCAAACATGATGTGATGATCATGATCGATCTGATCTGGTGGTCGATTGGAGCACATGCGCGCGTCCGGGGGGGGCCGAGGGTGGGTGTGGGGGGGTGTGGCGAAGGATGCTTACTGCGCATGCGCACTAATGATTATGGTCGCTGCACCTATCCCTATCTCGCTTTACCAATTCATACAACTCTGTTTCGCAGTCCCCCAATCTACCAATCCCTATGTGCCATCAAAGATTTTGCATTTATGTAGACACATGAGTAAAAGCAGGGACAAATTAACTATCCCAAATACTTAGGCTATAGTTGAAGTATGGAATAGTATCATAATCTGTCTCGCTGCACCCATTCCTATGTCGCTTTACATATCCCCCAGTCCCTCAATAAGACACACGAGTAGAAAAAGAGACGAACAAACTATCGTTTGGATTAGTATCGTACTCTATCTCACTCCACCTATTCATATCTCGCTTTACCAATCCATATATCACCTCTGTTTCGTTGTCCCTCGATCTACCAATCAGCTATGTGCCAATAAATGGCGTCAAAGATTTTTCATTTTTTGTAGACACGCGAGTAAAAGCAGGGACAAATAAATTATCCCAAATACTTAGGCTATAGTTGAAGTATGGAATAGTAATATACTCTATCTCGCTGCACCTAATCCTATCTTGCTTTACATATCCCCCGGTCCCTCAATATGGGGGTGTCAATGATTTTGCATTTTTTGTACACACATGAGTAAAGGCAGAGACAAGCAAACTATTCCTAATACTTTGGCTATAGTTGGAATTTGGATTAGTATCATACTCTATCTCGCTGCAACTATCCCTATTTCGCTTCACAGTTCCCTATCTCACCGCTGTTTACTGTCCCTCTACTATAAAGGGTGTCAAAGATTTTGCATTTTTTGTACACACATGAGTGAAAGAGGAGACAAAAGAACTTTCCCTAATACTTTGACAAGAATTGTAGAATGGAATAGTAAAACAGTCCATTTTTGCTGCAACTATCCCTATTTCACTTCACAGTTCCCTATTTCACCGCTGTTTACTACTATAAAGGGTGTCAAAGATGTTGCATTTTTTGTAGACACATGAGCAGAAGAAAAGTCAAACAAACTATTTGTCATACTTTGGCTATAGTTTGAGTTTGGATTAGTGTCATAATCTAGCTCACTGCACCTATTTGTGTTTCGCTTCACCAATCCCTATCTCACCCCTGTTTCGCTGTCCCTCGATCTACCAATCCACTATGTGACAATTATGTGCATCAAAGATTTTGCCTTTTATGTAGGGACGCGAGTAAAAGCAGGGACAAATGAACTAACCCAAATACTTAGGCTATAGTTGGAGTGTGGAATAGTATCATACTCTATCTCGCTGCACCCATTCCTACCTTGTGTCAACGATTTTTACATTTTTTGTAGAGACATGAGTAAAAGCAGTGACAAATCTTCTTATACTTTGACAATAGTTGGAGTATATAGTATACTCTATCTCAGTGCCCCTATTCATTTTTTCTTTACTATCTCACTGCTGTTTCGCTATTGCTTACGCAATCCCCTATCTGCCAATACAAAGATTTTGCATTTTGTGTTGACACGTGAGTAAAAGCAGAGACAAATAGACTATCCCAAATATTCAGGCTTTTGTTGAACTATGGAATAGTAACACTCTATCTCACTGCACCTATTACTATCTTATCCTTTGCTTTGTATATCTACTTTTGCTGTCCTTTTACCGAGGGATCAAAGATTCTGCAGATAATACGCAAGTGGAAGGAGAGACCTTAGTTGGATGATAAGTATCTGAGTTGTTGAGTTTTTATCTTAATTTTCCAAAATCCTGCTTGTTTGTGTATGATTTCAATATGTTGTGGATGTTTCGCTGTTCAAGAATAATTATACCAATGTACCCGTGTGAGCTGTGAAATATTGCTAAACATGCGCCAAAACTTGGTTCTAAAATCATTTTAGGAGCGGCAGTATAATTACTGCAGAGCCAAAAACTTTTTAAGCGTGATTGATAAACTAAAAACCATTTTCAAGCCTGATTGTAAACTAAAAACCATTATCAAGCCTGATTGATAAACTAAAAACCATTTTCTAGCCTGATTGGTAAACCCTTCTTTGCCAGCCTAGTAACGGGGTCGCCGACAGGAAACAATGGCGGTACGGCCGTTCTCGGACAGAGAGGGCGAGGCAAGTTGTGACGCACGAACGAGCCAACATAAAATGCGGCCACTCTCGGGAACCATCATCAGTTCCTACTGTCCGTGGAAATTTCACCAGTTGCCTCAGCCGACCAGTTCATCTCTTCTCCGAAACCTCCGACGACTTCTCCGAAACCTCCGACGAATCTGCGACCAGTTCATCTCATCTCAGAAACCCCCAACGAGTTTTCTACCAGTTCATTTCTTCTCCGACGAAACTTCAAGATGTCTTCAGCTGGATACAACAGTTCTCGTGGTCAGCGACTCGCCTCCTCCTCCTCGGACGACCACCAGTCTCTGGTCCCCTACTGCTTCAGGAACAGCGTCACGAGTCCAGAGCAGCTACACTACTCTATCGGCAAGACCATCGGCTCTGGGACCTACGCCAAAGTCAAGGCAGCGTGGAGTCCATACGAGCGGAAAATGGTGAGCCCCTCCCACTTTCTTGCATGCTCAGTTTGCGCTTTGCTATAGCTACGTCTTGTTTTACTGACTGTTTTTCTCCCATTCAGATCGCCATCAAGATACTGGAGAAACGAGGAGCCTCACAGGAAGTTCTGGACAAGTTCCTGCCTCGAGAGATGGCCGTCGTCCGTCGTCTGAACCACCCGAGCGTCCTCCGAGTCTTCCACGTGGTGGAGACTCCGCGAGAGGTCTACTTCATGCTGGAAATGGCCGAGAACGGCGACCTCCTGGACTACATCAACTGGCGCAGGTTCCTCCCCGAGCCCGAGGCCCGCTACGTCCTCCGTGGAGTGGCTGCCGGCGTGTCTCACTGCCACAGCAAGAACATCGTGCACAGAGACCTCAAGTGTGAGAACATCATGATCACCAGAGAAATGAGAGTCAAGATCGGAGGTAAGACATCCTATGCCTATCTTAACAAACTCTGTGTTTTAACTCTCTAACATCATGATAGATACCTCTGTAGCTAGTAACAAAGTGTTTACCATGTCCTGTATTTCTCTGCAGATTTTGGGTTTTCTCGACTGGTAGGAAGAGGAGAGAGTCCAGTCACCACTCCTTGTGGCTCCTACTCTTATGCTGCACCAGAACTGCTCTCTTCAAGACCTGGAGATACCTACGACGGCAAGAAAAGTGACATTTGGAGCATGTGAGTTTCTGACTGTTACAACGGTTACTACTACTGTACTGTGCCTCACTAATGAATTTTACTAGGTGAATAGAAACTCTACAGCCAAGCATCGTTTTGGAGCTTGTAAGTTATTGAGCATTGTAGCTATATAACATCTCAGAAGTCTGTTTGGACAATGTAAGTTGAGCATATTAATTTGATCTAATAATTGTGCTTTACTGTGTGATGTACTTTTTCTTCAGGGGCTGTATTCTGTTTGCCATGGTGTGTGGCTCTCTTCCGTATGGTGACGACACTCGAGTTGTGCAGATGATTCAAAAGCCACTCCACTTCCCAAAACCCCTCACTACAGGTAAAGTTGAACCATCTAATATCTGTCTCTTGTGTGCATGCCAGCTTAACATTATGCTGTGTATCTGATTGTGTGCTTCAAACCCCATTTTGACACTCTCTTTCTCTCTTTTCCTCCAGAGTGCAAGCATCTGCTGAGATCAGGAATGCTCAACACAGACAGTGAGAGGCGCTACGACATCACAGAGCTTCGTCTCTCTCTCTGGATGAGGGGACCAGCCGTACCCCTCACTCCCTACTCCACCACCAAGATATCAGCAGAGGACTGCCTCCCACACTGGGAGAGTGTGGGTGGGTACACTGGCAGAGTCCATCTCCCGTCGTCTCCAGTGGCAGGTCCTCAGACATCTAGACACCCTGTCCACCAGACAGCCCCAGGTCCTCGCAGTCAGCCACCCTCCACCCCAGCCACAGTCTCAGTCAAGAGAACACAGAAGGAGGCAAAGAGGAGGAACCAGGATACCTCCATCAAGACCAAGATCAACTCTGCCAGCAAGAAACTGGTCCACAGCTTCACTCACCGTCCATCATCCTCCAGAACTGAATCAGCCATCTAGTTTTTGTACTGTACCTTATTTATTACATTTTCTTTCATTTTCACATTTTTCTCATTTCCTTCTGTCATTTCTGTTTCTCTATCACATTTTTTAACAACCTTTTTAATAATATTTTTCTGAAGCTCTAACTCTGATTAGTTCCGGATGTTGAATACGCATGCGCAGATTGAAACGCGGCGCACACATTCCAACGCTACCGCATAATACAAATAAAGTGGCCCACGTTTAGAGTCAGAATTGATACGATGATTGATGCTTTGTGCGACTTGTATCGCTAAAGACTAGGATGACTGAGAGGTAGTGGCGGTGACCTCCGTTTGAATGTTTCTTACGAGAGTCGGTGGACGCGACGAAAGTCGCGGCATGGGAAGCGGTGGCGGTGTCTACACGAAACGTCATCACCCAAGAGACGCGTCCTGCACTTCTCCATACGGCTACGCCTGTCAGCCAAGCTACCCTCCCACCGCCGCTTCTCCACCACCGGCGCAGTTATGTGAACGAACGGCCGAATCGGCAGCGGACCGCTGCGTTACGCCGCTGGCTTTTCAAACCCCGCGTTCACCGCCTCAGTCTCCAGCCACGCCGACCTCCGCCACGGCTGGAAAATACAGCTTTGGAGTGTTCCTACAGAACTGCCAGGTGGCGGGAGATTTCCTTCAGCTAAGAGCGGACGGCGCGACGACGCACACGCCCGTCCGTCTCTACCTCACGGACACCGAGCTCGTCAAGAAGACGTCCGTTAGTGGATCTACGACCTACGCACACGATCGAGACTTTACCATCTCCCGCTATCCGCTGCAGAACGTGCAAGTGTCTGCGAGCAGAGTCTCGTCGGCGACGCTAGTAGTGTCCGTCCTAGGAAATGCACCGTCGTCGTCGAACGGTCGGGTATCCACCGTCGTGGGAGTAGCGGATGATCTGAGTTGCACTACAGACACCTCTGGTTTCCCATCCTGCTCCGTCCACCCGCAGCTCCACAGCGATGAATTCTGGCAGTGCAACGGGAAAACGGTCACAGAAGGATCTCTGTCGATCGATACTCGGCGCAGACCTGTTGTGGTCGAAGCTTACCGACTGCAATCGGACACACAGACCGCCGCCGCGGAAGGAGTCCAGCATTGGATATCCAGCGTAGAGAAGAGGAAACGGAAACTTGATATGCTCGAAAGGTTGAGACAGACTCTAACTGCTACAAATTCGACAACTGCCGCAACCGTCCATACAACGGCAACTCCGCCAGCATCAGAATCCACTTCGGCTCCACTCTCACCACTCTCACCACTCAGTCCTGCACGTCGATCTCCGCCCATCCCCATCTCGGTGAAAACAACCACAACCGCATCTGCCACCAGCACAACCAACTCCACTCCGAGGAGACATCCTCACAATAGAGGCAGCGAAGTTCTCTTCAGACACTCTGGCTACGATTACCCCTCGTTCGGTTCACCACCGACACGAGAAAAGTTCCCAACCACCACAAACGGTCGGTACACCCCCCTCCACCATCACTACACTCCCCATCCTCTCTTTTCACACTCCAACCATCACACAAATGGCAACGGTTCGGCCGTACAACAACTACGGCAACGACGAAAACCGACTGCCAAGGAACCGTTTCGTCTCCTTCGTCGACTGTCCCTCGGAGCTGGCACTAGTGGATCTTATCAATTCCCACCTCCACCCGAACACAGGGAACGCATTCGAGATGAGAGCAAATCCGGTAGGGGAAGAAATGGCATCGGGAGAACCACGTACATGTACTCTCTTTCGCAAGACGATTCCCTCCCTCCCTCCGTTATTCCTCCGAGTATTTCGCAATCCGAGATCCATTCTCGAAAAGTTGGAGATGCATCGCCGCAGCAACAAACCACGCCCACCCACAAAAGTGGTGCAGTCTCAAGGAGTTGGAAACAACGGCGATCAATATTCTCTCGCTCTGTGTCCGAAAATTGCAATTTCTCTGAACACCTTACCCAGACAGCAGAATCCCCTTCTAGTGACACTGTAACGAAATCGTTAACTTCACAACACCTCCTAGAAAGTGCATATCCTTCCTTTAGTACCGTAGCTGCAGGTAGCACTGGGAATCACATTTCGGGCGAAGTTTCTTCAGTGAGTGACGATGGGATTCCTACTGAACTCAGGGCACTCCAATCACTTTTAACAAATCTCACGTCATCGTGCAGCTCACCCTCCACCCCTCTCCCTCCCTCCACTCACCACAACCACCAGTCACCAAACACTGCTCACTCCTCTCCCCACACTCCCTCCGACGACGAAGAAAACGAAAAAGGTGGCGGCCACCGCGACAACGACGAAGGCTTCCAATCGTTTCTCAGACACAAGCAGATCCGCGGACGCAAAATACACGTCTCTCCGCGAGCAAACAACTCAAACAGCATCTACTCTGAAACTTCTCTCGCCTCCTTTGTGGATGGACAGATTCTCTATTCCTCCGCCTGTTTCTCCTCCCACCACTCCCACCACTCCCACGACTGCTACATCCACTGGTAGTGGAACTACAGGTGACGGCAGAATGAAGGCCGGGAACTCTTCATCTCTGCCTCGTAGACACAGAGTCAAGACTGAATCGACGCCTGCAGGGGCGCGGACTTCGAAAACTCTAGATCGTGAAGGTGAGTAGGTCCCTGGGCTAATTGCATGCAAATTGCAGCTACCTTTTATTGCATGGGGTGAGTTGAGTTTGTTTATTTTGATCTATAAGTGAGCGTATACCAGAGAAATTTTTGTCTTGTATCGGATTGTATAGTGGAACTTTGTAGTGGATTCCTCAACTGCTATTTGATATCCCTTTTAAGTGTACATACATACATACATACATACATACATACATAAAGATTTCGTACTGACTGCATCCGAGGATTGGCTTGTGATATAGTATCTATAATTATACATAGTAGTAGTGTATAAAGTGTGTATAATACATGTACTGCATGAGTCAGAGCAATATGAATGTGTACGTATGTACATGATGCACAATACCAGGGATTCTGATATTTCTACGTATTCCGAGATACCGTGTAAAGTCTGTGTATACATGCCATGTTTCTGTGTATGCAAGCATCCAGTGGGCACTGTACCGAACATGTACGATTGCTCAAATCACAGTTGTAACGTGTAGGAAGACTGCATGTAGTTGACGCTCCTCCAATGACTGTTTTTATTGGGTAACACCCACTGTTAATGATGCCAACATACCCTATTAATGAGCTATATCTACAGACTGTATTATATGGTGTACTTAGTCAACGGATGAGGTAGAAACACCTACGTAGGTAGACTGGGGATATTTAGATGCTTCACTAGAGCATGGAGGAGTGAGTTTTGCTGTACATACATGTGTACATGTGTCAACAACAACTCAAGGCAACGACACGCAGCAAAACCTTTTTTCCGGAAAAAGAACTGCCCTAGGTGGATTCGAACCCACAACACTGGGCTCAAGAGGCAATTGCTCTACCAGTTGAGCTATGTATATACTTGGGACATCCAGCAGGTAGAAAGTGAAACCTAAAACCAGTGTGGTATGGCACTACATAGCGTCTAATACTATAGCTATAGCCAAGTTGAAAGTGACCAGGAGAAGCTCTTAGCTCATTACGTAACTCTACGTAATCTTCTTTACTCTTGCGCTGTTGCTCGATCTGCCAGCGCATGAGAGGTCCATTATGGTCAGGTGCCTGCCAGCATTCTCGCTGTACAATAGCAATCGGTGAGGGAAATTTACAGCAATATTGGTCTGGGAGAAAATGTGGGCGATCCATTGCGCTGCTTGGCACGCAGCAGGCCTGTACGCACGTATTTGCATCACACCAGCAAATTAGCATGTGGAAAAAGGAAACATGTCCATATGCATGAATGCATGTACGAATCAGGGAGTGTCGACACCAGGCAGGTCCATATCAATCCCAATGAGGGTGCGCACCAGAAATCGATGACCCTTGGTTCTGATCAGCGGTGCCTACTCTTGGAGAATTACCCGGTATGCATGTATAATGGAGGTATGAGGATCATCACAGGATTTTGTGCGTGCTAGAAGGCTTCAGGCTGCTGGTGCTAGAAGGGCTCTGTTGCTATGTTCTTTAGAATCTCCACTACACTTGGTTGTTGGGTGGCTTCCTCATATATCCTTCCTCATTCTTGGCTTCACTTCCTGGTCGGCATTGTAACCTCGTGACGCTATTCTGTGATAGCATGGTGTGGAGTGGGCGATGATGTAAGAGGTCATGCAGTAAAGTCCTTTCAGTCCTTTGGTAAAACGTAGAGTTATTAATGAACACTGCCTCTTACTGCATCTTAATGGATGTTTTCCTTTACTTCCCACTCTTCCCCTCTTTATTCATTAAACCCACAACCCCCTTAATAGTACCTCCCTTGATCCTTTAACCCTTTCCACACACCCTTTTCTCTCATTAACCCTCTCACAGGATCGAGCAGCCCGGGACCGAAATCGACCAGCAAAACTCCGAAACTGTTCAAACGGTTTCATCGCCACCGTCGCTGGCGGTCCTCGTCGGGCGTCAAGCTGGAGGAAGAGATGATCCCTCGGAAGAATTCCTCAATCCATCGCTGCTAGATCTGAAGCAACAACCGCTAGTAGGAGGGGCAGTGGTAGATAGACTGTATCTCTTGCCGGTGAGGGAGGTGGCTGAGGGTCTGACGCAGATAGATGCCGAGCTACTCGGTCGAATCTCACCGGACGAAATCCGCGACGGAGCATGGATGAAGAGAGGCCAAAAGGTCAGAGAGTCACTAAGTACGGTGGTACTTGGTATTATAGCGATGTAATACGTAAACTATTGTGGTCTTTAGGGCATTATGCAACTCCCTCTCATCAACTACATACAACAACACAGAGATATTAATGCTACCTACATGTACATGTATGTATGTCAGTGGGTATTGTTAATGCGTAGAACATTATATAACAGTGGGTATGTAGCCCTTCGTATTGGCTAAGTCAAGTCTCATCATGCCACCTACATACACAGGAAAGGTCTCAAGTTACCGGGATATGTTACAGTATACTTGCTGGTATGGTGATAGTTGCTATGACCTGATCTTGTTCCACTTAGAGTCTTTGCAAACAGTATGTAGGTGATACCTACATCTCCATGGCACAGCAGTAGCTATGTTTGCACTATTGCTAATGGGATAGTTCAACTTAGAAACATACCAGCTTATGTCTGCCGGTAGTATGTACATCACTTCCTGTCCTCAGTCACTACTGACTGAAACTGGTTCTTATCTTTCTAACAAATAATGTTAGTCCATGTGCATAGTGGATAGTACAAGTAGATGTATGGGGTGATGCAGTGGAGTGGATAGGTGATGAAAGATGCCAGTATTGGGTGTGTCTGTGAGATGACAGCAGCTTCAGACCAGCTCAAACATCCTTGGCACCTTGCCCCAGGGAAGCTTTGTTTCCCCTCTCACCTCAGCTGCTACGTGCTGTTGATGAGTATCGAGGGTAAATGACGTCATACTCGACGGGTGTAGTTGATTGTTTGTTGTGCTGCCTTCTACGTCAAGCTAGTACGTAGTACTATGCAACACATTTTTGGCGATGCGAACATCGAGTAGTTCAATTTTCCGCATGAGTATTTGGAATCACGTAAAACATACGGTATTATATGCAGTGGCTGTGCCTTGTCACATAAAATAACTACAATGTAGCATCCTTGTAATGCTGTAACTTCAAAGAGTTAGTTAAAAAGGTAAAGACTTGCTAATTGGTTGTCCTTGTGTGATATATCCACTAGTGCAGTGCAGAGTAAGCTATGACAGTATGTATAAGGTACGAGAGACTGTGTGTGTGGTTGTGTTTGCAGCTCTGTATACTGACACCTGTGTTGTGCCTATATAGCTATCTCTGTGATTTCTTATGTACCTCTCTCTGTTTATTTGTCGTAAACAAAGTATGGGATGACGCTATTAGATAACAGAATGCCTTTGATCTTATAGTGGTTTTGAGCCTCTATAATATGTGTAGGCAAGTGTATGCATAGGCTATCCTTAGGTGTGCCCTATATAGTTACTGAGGATTGCTTTAACAAATGGTGTCCTAATTATTGTGAGTGACCTCTAATTAATGAGAGACTCTTAGAAACCCATAGTGTCCTCTCCATGAGTGGCTTGCTAATTGAGGAGTCAATACTATTAAGCAGGCCATATATACACTAGCTGCCAGAATTATCGTATCAATATTTTGGAAGTTGCTGCAACTTTGGTTGAAGCGACAAAGTTGCCATGGCCTGCTTAGTCACATGCACACAGCAAGACCACAGTATAGTAGATCCCAGGAGATCCTTTCTGCTAACATGAGATAAACATTGATTGAGGCACCCTAGCTACTAACTCCACTACGCAGTTTGAATATGGAAACCTGTGTTAACTTAGAAACTTCAACTCCCAACTTCTATATAGCATCTGTGTTGTTTTTGCTGTGCCATCATCAGTCTCTCAAACTGATTGTGGCTTGATATTATCTGTGCAAGGTTATCATACACTTTAGAGCGTGACTCATATAGCCATGTATAGTTACACCCTCCAGAGCTAGACCTACTAAAGCTACTCTCTTCTTTCTAGCTACTGTATATAGTACAATACATGATGAGGGTGTGTTTCACTCCAAGCACGGTATATATCTAATCTGTGCAGTCTCTCAGAGTGTGATCACTAGCCATGTAGTACACCTCCAGAGCTAAGCTACTCTCTTCTTCTCAGCTACTGTCCATAGTACAATTCCATGGCTGAGGGTTTTTCAAACTCAAGCATAGTAGTGCTAAGAACTGTTTCTTTTGACTACTGAGCATGATTGTGATGGCAAGCATGAAGGCCCAATTAGAGCAGAATGGGATGGGTGAGGATGCGTACAGCTTTACCTGATATTTATAAATAATGGAATCGTTTACTTCTGAAGGTATGCAATGAATATGCATAGGTGTATGAGACTGTAACTGGACTATATCATTGCTTACTGGGAGTGGAGCGGTGTGATGTTGTATTTGTGTTGTGAGGTGGTGAGTGATGGTGGGGTTGTGGTGTGTGCGAGGAGTGTGGTGGGAGTATTGCAATACTACGTACATCCATTCAACGTTTGTGGGGAGCGCAATTGGTTTGCTAGGTACCTAGATCCCAGTTAGTTGTATATACATTAGGACAGTTACATCAAAAATGTATATACATTCTGTTGCTCCTAGGCATGCACTATGATATTACCTTCCTCTACTGCTATAATTGTTGCCTTTTAAAATTTGTTAATTTCAAAGTCTGCGTATGTAGTTAGTAACTCTTCCTCTAGACAATACAATTGTCATTTACTACATGATTGTCAGCAATTAGGTTTAATAACACAAACGAGTTAATATCCATTAGCACTCTGTAGCATTGTAGTAATAGATATGTACCACAGTAATTATCTACACATGTTATTATACTACTAGACAAAACCAGTACACTGTGTGCATAGATTACAAACGATGGCAATGCACGCAAAACGATAAAAGGGGGGTTCTGTGGAACCCAAGGAACCTCCACTGGCCTTGTGCCAAGCAAAAGCATGCGTGTAGCATACTAGCCATAGAGAATAGAAAAGAAAGAAAAATCAGAAGTCACCCTCCACTCAAGTACACACAAGAGACAAAAAGCACACTTGGGAGAGCTCGGCATTTTCAAGACCCTCTGAATGGTTCGGGACCGATAGGTTGACAGGCAGCTGTTACACAGTCAGTTGGTTGTCTGGTTGTGATAGTCGTGCAGATTTCTCAACAGACGCATGTCTATCTAATGGAGCAGACCTGGGCTGACATCATGTGACATGCGCAGGCCATGCTAATGGACCATGCTTTCCTTGGCATCCCTGGCATTCCATTAAATGCACACTTTTCTGGGTTCATTCTTTTCCCGCTCCGTATAAATGTGCATGTGATCTGAACTTAGGATAATGGACGGAGACTATGTGCATTGATAACAATTTGATTTTAAAACCACGTGCAAGTAGCTGTTGAATTTACCTTTCATGCATTTCTGCAAGTACAGCTTATAAAACAGAAATTATCGTTGCATGTGCCTTACTTGCAAACTTTCGTGAAACCAAAAGCTCCTTGGATTACCGAAGCTCTCAAAAAGCATACATCGTTGCTTGACACACATCGTCGGTGGCATATGCACACTATGATCATTATGGCTATTAGCAGTTACGTTGAATGCCTCTATGAGCACAAATTTGCAAGTGCTCATTGACCCGTGAAATGTTTAGACAATTTCACTATTCGTGCCGCACTTACAGGCTTATGGAATATCACTGTGTGGGTGTACATAAGAGCATATACTACCAGCCAATACATAGCAATGGGGTCAGTTAGCATTCCTGTCATTCTTGTTGTCCTAATGAGTCTACACAAGGAGGTGGGTTATGATGATATGATCACATTCCAATCATAATTGAGCTGTAGCCTCATTGGCAGTGCGAACTTGTGACTGGCACCGTAAATTAATTCCTTAGTGTCGTCATTAGTCTGTCTTCCAAGTAATTTTAAAGTGTGTAAATAGTGATATGATATGTGTGTGTTCAATTTTAAGGTGTTGGATTGCTTGGTATGTGCGGTTCGCCCAGCCAGCTGAGTTGGTAGAGCCCTCTCTAGAACACAGAGTGCTCTGCCTAGCTCTGTATGAGTGATTCAGCCCAGCCAGCTGAGCTGCCTCAGTAGCTCAGTTGGTAGAGCCCTCTCTAGAACACAGAGTGCTCTGCCTAGTTCTGTATGAGTGATTCAGCCCAGCCAGCTGAGCTGCCTCAGTAGCTCAGTTGGTAGAGCTCTCTCTAGAACACAGAGTGCTTTGCCTTGCTCTGTATGCGTGATTCAGCCCAGCCAGCTGAGCTGCCTCAGTAGCTCAGTTGGTAGAGCCCTCTCTAGAACACAGAGTGCTCTGCCTTGCTCTGTATGAGTGATTCAGCCCAGCCAGCTGAGCTGCCTCAGTAGCTCAGTTGGTAGAGCCCTCTCTAGAACACAGAGTGCTCTGCCTTGCTCTGTATGAGTGATTCAGCCCAGCCAGCTGAGCTGCCTCAGTAGCTCAGTTAGTAGAGCCCTCTCTAGAACACAAGGGTACTCTGCAAATTTATCAGGTGGTTGAGCCCTGCTGTATGGATTGTGTCCGTTGCTGTCTGTTTATCAGTCAGCAAAGTGTTATGGTAAAAATCCCTTAATGTCCTTGATTACCCTCAAATCACAGCATTCTGGTGGTAATTATGGCAAACCACTGCATCATAGCAATTGTGTGAATCAATAGTACATAGCTATCATGTGTAGATGGGGTTTTTTGAGGTGTCCCATGACGATAAGATAACAGAGTAGGTGCATGTTGGAGTGGAGTAGTGCATGTTGGAGTACTGTGGTACTCCAGTAGTGTGGTGTAGAACAACCCCCAGTTTTACTTGGATGTACAGGTTTAACCAGGTTTTTGTTTGTACCACATGGAGCTATAACCCGGGATAACTTAGTGCAGTGGCATTCGAACCCAGGACATTCTGTAGTCTAAGCGAGCACTCTACCAGGGAAACTCAGCAGGTAGGGGTTCAAATCTACGCACAACAATCTACAACACAAGCCATTATACACTGGCAGTAGGAGATGCAGAGAGGGGGAGAGTTAATAATTATGGAGATGTCTGTGAAGATGTAGGGGTGAAAGGTGGGGGACACGTGTCACTATTAGATCACCCTTTGTTAATGTACACACACCACCACCACCAAACGCATGTACATGCACACTTGCCTTACATCAATTCCAAATTCCAGTCTATTTGGGATTCCAGTCTATTTAGGTCACACACACACCCACCAGACTTAACTATA